GTGAATGCTCCCTCGTGACTAGTCTCATTTTGTCGGTCTGGGGCTCCTCGCATACATGTCTGAACCTCAATTATGTTGTGATCTGAGTATATTGTTTTTGATATGGTGACATTTCTTATCAGATCATCATTGTTAGTGAATATGAGGTCTAGTGTATTCTCCAGTCTAGTAGGCTCTATTATTTGCTGGTTTAAATTGAATTTTGTGCAGAGATTTAAAAGCTCGTGTGAGTGTGAGTTTTCATCAGAGCTGCCTCCTGGTGTTATTACTGCAACAATATTATTTGCTATATTCCTCCATTTTAGGTGCCTTAAGTTGAAATCCCCAGGAGCAAGATGTTGGGTGCAGGAGCTGGAAGATTTTCCAGACAGTGGTCAATTTTTAACAGCTGTTCCTGGAATTGCTGGGATGTTGCATCCGGAGGCTTGTAGACTACCACAATGACTAGGTTTTGGTTCTCGACCTTTACTGCTAAAACTTCCACTACGTCATTTGAGGCATTAAGCAGTTCTGTGCAAACAAGTGACTCTGCAATGTACAGGCCAACCCCCCCCTTTTGCCTGTTCACTCTGTCACATCTGTATAGGTTGTAACCTGGGATCCATATTTCATTGTCCAAGTGATCCTTTATTTGTCCAGTGTATTATTAAATTCTTCCCAAATTCTATTAATTATAAATGGATCTAATTTATAATTAATAGAATTTGGGAAGATCTTGTTTACTGTGATCTTACTGCATATGCATATATATATATATATATATATATATATATATATATATATATATATATATATATATATATATATATATAATATATATAACACACACACAGTTGTCCCTCAATAATCGCCCGGGCTGAGAGTCGTCCATTTTGGAAATAGTCGCGTTATTTCGTCTAAACATTGGCTCGCAAATGGTCCGTTAACTCGCTAATCATCCTTCGTCCTGGACGCGTACTCACAGCTCTGAGCTGCCTCTGCCTCGATTCCCAGCCAGTGTGCCATTGTTTACCAGTGAGCGACGGTCCCCTCATGTGTTCATGCGAAATATTTCAAAATACAGTGGACCCTCAACCAGCGATGGCATCGATTAACGATAAATCTGACTAGCGATACATTTTATCGCAAAAATTTTGCTTCGATTAGCACTAAAAAACTCGACCAACACTATTCGTTCTGTCTGAGACGCGTCCACTTCTGGCCAGTGTTTACAAGTCAGCCAGCCACCGCGGTCGCTTCCAAGCATACAATCGGAACATTTCATATTATCACAGCCTTTTTAGTGATTGCACCTGCAAAATAAGTCACCATGGGCCCAAGAAAGCTTCTAGTGCCAACCCTACAGCAAAAAGGGTGAGAATTACTATGGATATGAAGAAAGAGATCATTGCTAAGTATGAAAGTGGAGTGCATGTCTCCGAGCTGGCCAGGCTGTACACAAAACCCCAATCAACCATCGCTACTATTGTGGCCAAGAAAACGGCAATCAAGGAAGCTGTTCTTGCCAAAGGTGCAACTATGTTTTTGAAACTGAGATCGCAAGTGATAGAAGATGTTGATTGTTATTGGTATGAATAAACGAAAAACAGATAGCAGGAGATAGCATTTCTCAAGCGATCATATGTGAAAAGGCTAGGAAGTTGCATGACGATATAATTAGAAAAATGCCAGCAACTAGTGGTGATGTGAGTGAATTTAAGGCCAGCAAAGGTTGGTTTGAGAGATTTAAGAATCGTAGTGGCATACATAGTGTGATAAGGCATGGTGAGGCTGCCAGTTTGGACCAAAAAGCAGCTGAAAAATATGTGCAGGAATTCAAGGAGTACATAGACAGTGAAGGACTGAAACCTGAACAAGTGTTTAATGGTGACACTGACAATGTTGTGAAACACTTTAGGAATGTCATAAAGGAACGGGAGGTACAGACCTCTATGGGCAGATATGTTGTGCGACAGAGGTCCAGTGACTCTCAAGCTGGTCCTAGTGGCATTAAAAGAAGAAGGGAAGTAACCCCGAAAAAGGACTTGCCACCTCAAGTCCTAATGGAAGGGGATTCCCCTTCTAAACACTAAGACCATCAATACACTCCCCTCTTCCCATCCCATCAATCATCACCAGATCTTCAATAAAGGTAAGTGTCATGTAACTGTGTATGTCTTCTTCAGTTTGTGTGTATTAAAATTAATATTTCATGTGTTAAAAATTTTTTTTTTCAATACTTTTGGGTGTCTTGCACGGATTAATTTGATTTCCATTATTTCTTATGGGGAAAATTAACTTGACTAACAATTATTTTGACTAACGATGAGCTCTCAGGAACGGATTAATAGCGTTAGTCGAGGGTCCACTGTACATGTATTCCATTCATTTTAGTGCTTGCAAGTGCTAAATAAGCTACCATGGCTCCAAAGAAAGCTCCTAGTGCCAAGCCTTTGGTAAAGAAGGTGAGAAATATGATTGAATTTAAGAAAAACATCATTGAACAATATGAAAGTGGCATACATGTGGGCGAACTGGCCACACGCTTATTTGTGAAAAGGGTAGGCATGACGATTTGGTAAAGAAATTGCCTGTAACTAGTGGTGATGTGAGTGAATTTAAGGCCAGCAAAGGCTGGTTTGAGAGATTTAAGAAGCGTACAGGCATACACAGTGTGATAAGGCATGGTGAGGCTGCCATAGGTCTACATAGAGGCTGAAGGACTGAAACATGAACAAGTGTTCAATTGTGACAAAACAGGCCTCTTTTGGAAGAAAATGCCAAAGAGGACCTACATTACTCAGGAAGAAAAGGCACTGCCAGGACACAAGCCTATGAAAGACAGGCTGACGCTCATTTTCTGTGCTAATGCTAGTGGGGATTTCCTCCTCCAGTCTTCCATACACTAAGAAGAATCGCCAATAAAGGTGAGTGTTATGCTGTTAATGTTTCATTCATCATGTCCCAATGTATTTTTTATGTACTACATCTATATTTCATGTAAAAAATTTGTTTGTTTTAATACTTCTGGGTGTCAGGAAGGGATTAATTGTATTTACATTATTTCTTACGGGGAAAATTGATTAAAAAAATCGTCTATTTCGATAATAGTCCCACTTCCAGGAACGGATTAAGGACGATAATTGAGGGACCACTATATATACTATATATATATATATATATATATATATATATATATTATATATATATATATATATATATATATATATATATATATATATATATAATATATAATATATATAATATATTTTTTTTTTTTTTTCAACAAGTCGGCCGTCTCCCACCGAGGCAGGGTGACCCAAAAAAGAAAGAAAATCCCCAAAAAGAAAATACTTTCATCATCATTCAACACTTTCACCACACTCACACATTATCACTGCTTTTGCAGAGGTGCTCAGAATACAACAGTTTAGAAGCATATACGTATAGAGATACACAACATATCCCTCCAAACTGCCAATATCCCAAACCCCTCCTTTAAAGTGCAGGCATTGTACTTCCCATTTCCAGGACTCAAGTCCGACTATATGAAAATAACCGGTTTCCCTGAATCCCTTCACTAAATATTACCCTGCTCACACTCCAACAGATCGTCAGGTCCCAAGTATCATTCGTCTCCATTCACTCCTATCTAACACGCTCATGCACGCTTGCTGGAAGTCCAAGCCCCTCACCCACAAAACCTCCTTTACCCCCTCTTTCCAACCCTTTCGAGGACGACCCCCTACCCCTCTTTCCTTCCCCTATAGATTTATATGCTTTCCATGTCATTCTACTTTGATCCATTCTCTCTAAATGACCAAACCACCTCAACAACCCCTCTTCTGCCCTCTGACTAATGTTTTTATTAACTCCACACCTCTCCTAATTTCCACACTCCGAATTTTCTGCATAATATTTACACCACACATTGCCCTTAGACAGGACATATCATACATACATACATACATACATACATACATACTACATACATACATATATATATATATATATATATATATATATATATATATATATATATATATATATATATATATATATATATATATATATAATAAGGACAGTCTATTACTGGTCTTACATTATGCTCTTATTACGGTTTACTGCATTATGGTGTGGACTTAGTTTATGCTGAGTATGGAGATCTTACACACAGTTGCAACACAATCGTTATTTTTCAAAAAAATTGCTCTTCATGTTCCAAAGGTTTCTGTCTCCTGGATATCCCAGTATGGATTCCTCCTTTAACATGTGCCTTCTCTGTCTCAAAACAGATTGTATGATTCCAACTGCCCTCCATCCAAGGGTCTCACAACAGAAATTTCCATCTTAAACCTTGAAAAACTTACTTCTGATTTGCAGGAGTCCCAGAGAGTGATTATCAGTATGAGTTGACACAGAAATACAGCTTTCAGGGTTTAAGATGCAGTTTTATGCAAGTTATATATATATATATCAGTCTCAGATTGGACATTATAAAGGCACATATACATTTAATAATAAACAAAACACTTGGGCAAAGAATAAACCTTAAAATTTTTTAAGCATAGCAGCAATTATATAGCTGCCAAATAAATGGGATTATCAGCTCAATATATCCACTCAGAATGTCAGTGTACTGGGTGTAGTGGTGGCGAAGGAAGAACTAAGGGTAATGGAGGTCTTTGGTAAGTGTTGGGAGAACAATTATCAAATAACAAATTACTATAAAGTTTTCAGATATACAACTAATAAATACAGGTGCATGATAAATGATCAGTGAATGAAAGGGTGGACAAAGGGTTGCAGAGGAACACAGCAACCAAAACAAGTACCAGAGTAGGGCAGTACAGTATATGCAGTACAGTACATGAAAGGGTTAAGTATATGCAGTACAGTACATGAAAGGGTATAAGACATAAGAAAAGAAAGGGTTAGGGTGAAAAAATAAATCACTGATCAATGTAATTATTGGAGCATGGGATCTGGTTTAAGGGCTGCTCCTACTGAGAACTGCTTACCATAACCTGGGGATACATCCGTTGACCCAGCTGCTGAGGTGTGGAATTAACTCAAGTTTAGACTAAAACTTTCAAGACCTACTACACAGCACATCATGCTAAATTATGTCTATCTCAGGTATAGCACATCACACTAAACACCAGGATATAATCAATAATCTCCATAACCTCTAAGTGATGGATCACCATTAGCATATAGAAGATATAAATGAAATAACTGGCTATAAATATAAGAAAAATTCTGAATTCTGCATCTTGCCCCATGTTGTTAAAGATAATATTTCATATCAGAGACAAACTCTTTAGGTACAGAAGCATTTTAAGCAAACTGTGATCCTTCTGAGAGAAGATCATTTTAAGATAACTGTGACCCTCCTGAGAGATTATTTGGAAATTACATAAAATTAAGTTATTCCTCTTAACTTTTCACACAAACAGAACATAAACTTCAGAATAGATGAACTTATGGCTACAAATATGTAAAGTAAAAGGACACAAGTGCATCTAATGTGACATTTTATTGTGGCAACGTTTCGCTCTCCAGGAGCTTTGTCAAGCCGTTGCAAACAGTACATGGACACAGAGGGTATATGTAGGCTTAGAGTGAGGTGCAATACTAGTGGTAGTAGTAGTAATAGTGATATAAGTTGTAGTAGTAGTAGTAGTAGTGATATAAGTTGTAGTAGTAGTAGTAATACAGTATGGTAGAACAATTAACAAGCACATTACAGAGGATGAACTTTGAAACAGGCCTTCTCTAATCCAGCCTCCAACATAAATATCTAACCTATTTTTATGTTACCCAAGTAATAGCTTTTATATCCTTTTACTCATGTGCAAGTTAATTGTTCTACCATATTGTATTACTACTACTACTACTAGTACTACAACTTATATCACTACTACTACTACTACCACTACTACTACTACTATTACAACTACTACTACTACTACTACCACTACTACTACTACTACTACTACCACTACTACTACACTACTACTACTACTACTACTACTACTACTACTACTACCACTACTACCACTACTACTACTACTACTACTACTACTACTACTACACTACTACACTACTACACTACTACCACTAGTATTGCACCTCACTCTGAGCCTATATATACCCTCTGTGTCCATGTACTGTTTGTAACAGCTTGACAAAGCTCCTGGAGAGTGAAACGTTGCCACAATAAAATGTCACATTAGTTGCACTTGTGTCCTTTTACTTTACATATTGTCGGTAATTCTACGAAATGGCTACAAATAGCTCTGCTTCAATGAACTTTTGTTATCAGAAAATCAAACTGGTTTAAAATTAAAACAAGTTAACAAAAAATAATTAAGAGATGATTGTGTCCTTATATAAATGTGTCCATTATAAAAAAATTAGTCCTCATGCAAATGCCAACATTTAAATTTATTATCAAATAAATGTGTCATCAGACAAATGTGTAAACTGTGTCATCATACAAATGTGTAAACTGTGTCATCATACAAATGTGTCCTTGTCATACAAAGACATCTTATATATACTCATATAAACGCATCCAGATACAAATCTATCATACAGGTGTCCTCATATAATTGTGTTCACATACATGTTGTTGTCATATACATGTGTGTCTACAATCATTCTTTTATTAATACACTCTAGCTGTTTCCCCACCAAGGTTGGGTGACACTAGAAAGAAAACACGCTCACCACCATTCATTAAACAGCCATCTTGCTGATAAATTAGACACATATGCAACTCTTGGGTATCTTTATTGAGGAAACGTTTCGCCACACAGTGGCTTCATCAGTCCATACGTAGGAGAAACTTGAAGAACAGAAGGATAGACTGAACACATTGACTCAAAGTTGAGGGACTGATTACCTCATTCTCCTTCTGTTCTTCAAGTTTCTCCTACGTATGGACTGATGAAGCCACTGTGTGGCGAAATGTTTCCTCAATAAAAATACCCAAGAGTTGCATATGTGTCTAATTTATCAACATGTCGGTTCTCTGAACCATTCATCTACAAACCTGTCAGACACTGCAACTTCTTGGGATCTTAATACTTAGGAATTCTTCGCTTGCCTAATTCTTGGGCACGACCTACTTCCACATTGAACAAATGTGACACCACCTATGACTGCTGCACCTCTCCTGCCATACGGTTTATAAGCTGCTTCTCCGCTCATACGCCGTATTCTATTCAAGATTGATAGACTGAACACATCGACTCAAGGTTGAGGGACTGGTTACCTCATTCTCCTTCTGTTCTTCAAGTTTCCCCTACGTATGGACTGATGAAGCCACTGTGTGGCGAAACGTTTCCTCAGTAAAGATACCCAAGAGTTGCATATATGTCTAATTTATCAACATGTCGGTTCTCTGAACCATTCATCTACAAAGCCATCTTGCCAGAAGTGTTTGGACATCACACTTGCAACTAGATGTACTTTGGTCACTTCACTGTCCAAGAAAAATATCCCCATATTGCATAACCCATCCCCTGTACATGAATGCAGTCAACAGGAATAATGAAAGGGTAGTTATAAAATTCTAATGCAGAAAATATAAAAAATGAATGTGTGTATATGTATGCATGCATGTATATGCACTCTTGCATATGTACTCACCCATTTGTAGTTGCAGGGGGTCGAGTCACAGCTCATTTCCCCGCCACTTCACTGGTCGCTACTAGGTCCGCTCTCTCCCTGCTTCAAGAGCTTTATCGTACCTCTGCATGTGTCTATGTGTACACATGCATACAGACCAACAGTTTCATATCAGTGTAAGACTAAACATTGCCGTGAAGAGGAGGCTGGAGACAGTGGAAATGTCACGTTTGAGAGCAAAGTTTAGTGTGAATATTATGCAGAGAATTTGGAGCACTGAGATTAGAAGATAGTATGGCATTATGAAAAGTATAATTCAAGTGTTTTGGCCATTTAGAGAGGATGGAGAATAATAGGGTGATGCAGAAGTATATAAATCCAGATTGGAAGGTAGGAGGGGTAGAGGTCATCCTAGGAAGGGTTGGAGGGAAAGGAGTAAATGAGGTATCCAGTGCTAGGGGCTTGAACATCCAGCAGGCTTGTATGAGTAAGATGGATGGGAGTGAGTGGAAATAGGTGGTTTTTATGGCTTGATGTGCTGTTGAAGTGTGAACATGGTAACATTTCTGAAGGGACTTGGGGAAACTGGTATGCTGGCCTCGAGTCCTGGAGATGAGAGGTACAGTACCTACACTGAAGGAGAGGTGGTGAGGATGTTGCAGTTCAAGGGAAGGTCACTGGAACTGTGTCAGCAGTTTATTTTATGCTATAACTGCATGTTTACTTGGTTATTACATCCTCAAATGCATTTGTCTTCTGTACTTGTTTTTCTGGTACTATTAGTATGGTGAGTTCCCATACAATTATGTCTCTATGTACATAGTATTATATAACTACGTCCAAATACATGTGTGTCCACATATGTATGTATGCATGCTTATACAAATGTACGAACATGTGAATGCACTGCATGCAAATGTGTTCACATACAAATGTGTTCACATACAAATGTATCACACAAATGCATCCTTATACAGTGGTACCTCGAGTTTCGTACAGCTCCAAACTCAAACAAGTGCTTTTGTAAGTGTATTTTTGAGGGTCTGAAATGGACTAATCTAATTTACATTATTCCATATAGGAACAAATTCGCTCGGTAACGGCACTTGAACAGCTTTCCGGAACAAATTATGGCTGAAACTCGGGGTTCCACTGTACAAATAAATCATGAGGCCTCAAACAAGTATATTAAACATTTTCTTTTTAATTCATTCACTGTCTCCCACTGAGGTGGATGACAAAAAAAAAAAAAAAAGAAACACTTCCCGCTTCATTCATTCAATAGCTATTTGTGCTAAACGTGTGCTGACATCACAGTTCAAACGACTCTTTCCCCTCCTCCTCCAGAGTACAGGTACTGTACAGAATGTATCATACAAATGTGTCCCCATACAATAATTCATAAAAAACATGTTCTCTTACACATGTATCATATGCATATATGTCCTCATACAAATTTATTCTTACATGTATCATACAAATGTTCTCATACTTGTAGCACACAAATGTCTTCATGTAAATGTGTCCTCAGACATGTCATACAAATGTCCTCACTAAAATGTGTTCTCATACACATATCAACCATACATCATGATTAAAAAAAAATCCCATCTAACGAATACTGTTCATTAAGAGGGATGTAAGTTTCCCCATCTTCAAATAACATTTTCATTTTTCCACTGTAATCTACCCCGTCCGTAATTACTATCGCATCTGATCAGATTATAGTAGATTATAGTGGAATAATGAACATGTTATTAGAAGACAGGAGAACTTACATGCCCCTTAATGTTTTCTAGATACAGTGAAACTTGTATTATCCAGCTAAGCCAGGAGAGAGAGCACATCAGGTATTGCTAACTAGTCACCTCGCTACATTAAACTAGGTTAAAGCTACATAATATACAGTACTGCTTTTTGTGCTCATAACATCAGTGTGCCCTTAAGACCACTGTAAATGTAAGCAAAACCTCAATAAAAAAACTTCTTGTATATATATTTTGTGTTCTAATTGTACTATTCCTAGAATAGGTCTACTTGAAATGCTTTGCATTTTGGGCAGTCAAGTACCTGACTCAAGTACAAAAAAAAACTTTGTATAACAGATATATAAAATAAAAGGCAAAATCCACTGGATGAATTATATGTTTAACTTCTTTATTTTCAATGTTTATTGCAATATGACTGTAGAAGGATGGGAAAACACCAAATTATTTTCTGATGTTGATACAGAATTATAAATTGGTAAAGATACTATCAAAATTACCTGATACCCACTGATATTGATACTGATACCATCAAAATTGGCCAAAACCACTGATAATGATACTGATGGTTTGGTACACCCCCATAACTGTAAACTGTGAACAGTACTATATTAGGTATCCAGTAATAAACCAGTGCTTTTTTTCTATAT